TGTTGGAAATAGATGCTCGGTGCCGCAAAGAAAAATCAGCACTGAGACAAAGGATCTTCAGCAACAAATTGTATTTCCTGGGCTGCAGGAAGGGCACCCTCGCTAGCCATTGTGCCGTGAGAGTACAATGAACAAAGGAAACAGGACACATTTATCCCTTACGCATTTGGGGCCGTCCTCACTGCTGTGTCTGATCTCCGTTGGCTGGAGCCAGACCTCACAATCTAAACTAAAACCCGATTGGCTAACAACTAAAACTTTTCTAAACAGGTAACAGCAATGGAGAGCTGGGACATGCCTGTGAGCACGTCCAGCACAGATATCTTGGTTAAAGTACAAGGATGTAGAGTATACTACATGCCTGTAAGCATGGCGTGTCTAACAGCTACATAGGATAGGGCTTCACAAAGTCATTAGCACACTTGTCATTATCAAGAAAAGAAACTAAAAAGGGGCTTTTCTACTTCCCACACTACTGTCTCAGTTCTGGAGTCAGGAAGTCCAAGATAGAGGTGTCAGCCAGGCTGGTTCCCTCTGAGAGTTATAAAGGAAGGATTCGTCCCAGGGCTCTCTCCCAGCCTCTGGTGGCCTGGGGCGTTCCTTGGCTGGTAGATGGCATTTTCGCTGTCTCTTTGCTTCGCCTTCCCGGCCACACATCTGTGTCTGTGTCCAAATTTCCCCTTTACATAAGGACACCAGCCATAGTGGATTATCTGTTTCCAAATAAGGTCACATTCACAGGTGCTGGGGTTTAGGACTTCGATCCTTTTTGGAGGATATGTTGCAAACCATCTCAGGCACATAGTACGCAGATCCCGCAGTGTCACTGAGCCAGGCAGTCTTTTTGTAAGGCCAAGATGTAAAGAGGAGCAAAGGCTGCCACAGCCTTTGGAGAACACAGAGGGACTTTGAGGCCTGTGGCCAAGATACGGTCCTCAAGGGATCCAAGGAACCAGCTCTAGGAACCAAAAGCAGCTCAAGGGTCTGCCCCAGCCTGCTGCTCCTGCAGACCCCACCTCCTTCCCCACTGATGCCTGGGCCTGCCTCTTGCAGCATCGGGACCCTACGCTGGTCTCACCAGGTCTCCCACTCTTCTGCCTAAACTCAGCCCCCTGCCTTGCAACTTTCAGCAGGATAAAATCGTATGAATCAGATGACCATCCTTAATAGTGAGCTACTTTCTCAGAAATGTTCAACTGATTTGATGTTTCTCTCCTTGGAAAAAAAACCCAGAATTGCAGTAACTTTCGGTTGCTGAAAAACAGTGAAACCTCTGCCACACACCAGATGTCCTGGGGACCCCTCATTCGGTCTGAAGGTGAGTTGATGACTTTGTTAGTCAGCTAAGGAAAAGATGCAGCCAATTCCTTTCCACCAGCGTGTATTCAGAAAAGCAACTGTTTGAAATGTGGAACTCTTGAGAGACTTCTGAAAGGCCTATAATAATAGAAACACTAATGGTTAATATTCACTGAGAGCTGCTACGTGTCAGCATGGCGCTAAGTTCTTCACATGCGGAATGTAACATGCTCCTCTCAGCAACCCTGGGGGGCATCATCTATTGCCATACCCATCTACGGATGAAAAGACTGAGGCTTCAAGAGGTCAGGCACAAAGTTACATAATGAAATGTTTGAGCTGCTTAATATCAAGCCAGTGAAGTTTTCTGACACTGGGTAAATACATCGAGTAGGTTTTAAGAGATAATAACTCAAGCTATAATCAGGCTTGAGTGTGTGTGTATGTGTGTGCGCGTGCATGTGTGTGCACGTGCGTGTGTGTGTGCGTGTGCATGCATGCACAAATGTTTACCCATTTATCCATTCATCAAGAAAAAGCTGTTTTATTCAAAAGATGCAAAAAATGGCATGTGTCCCCCTCAGCTTAAGACTCCCAACAGCCAATTACACTGCACGCATTTTCAAAACCCCAAATCAATTTTCCAGAACAAACATTTTATTTTATATGGACTATCATCTTATTTGAAAAAAAAAAAATTGGTTTGGGGGAAATTGTGTGCTTTGGGTATTGAGAGAGAACCCACCAGTATCCCACAGTATCTGTCCTCATCTCTTTTCCTAGGAATCAAGTCCCCAGCTTTTGCTGGTACATGGCTGGCAGGAATAAAAACGAATTCCAACTCCTGGCAGTTAAGTGGGGCCATGTGAATAAGTTCTGACCAATGAGGTGTCAATGGAATAGTCATGTGACAACATTTAGAGGTACACCTTCCTTAAAAGATGTCTGTGCCCACCGTCTGCCACTTTCTTTTTCTTCTTTTTTTTTTGAGATGGAGTCTAGCTCTGTCGTCCAGGCTGGAGTGCAGTGGCACGATCTTGGCTCACTGCAATCTCTGCCTCCTGTGTTCAAGTGATTCTTCTGCCTTAGCCTCCCAAGTAGCTGGGATTAGAGGTGCCTGCCACCACGCCCAGATAATTTTAGTATTTTTAGTAGAGACGGGGTATCACTGTGTTGGCCAGGATAGTCTTGAACTCCTGACCTCATGATCCGCCTGCCTCAGCCTCCCAAAGTGCTGGGATTACAAATGTGAGCCGCTGTGCCCTGCCTGCCACTTTCTTCTTTAGGGCCATGGGGCCCAGACCTTGGAGGGATCTGGCTTCCCAGAACACTGTGGGCAAGGGGCCAAGGCAGGCCTGGACTCTGACCTCCACTTTTTACCAGGAAGAAAGAAACTTTCCCATCCTTTAGGCCACTGCTATTTTGGTTTCTCTCTTTCCTTCTTGCTCTTTCTCTTTCTTGACTCATTTGCTGGTTCTCATCCAAAGCATTTGGGAAACTAAAAAAGTAAACACGGTCCCGGGCCACACCCAGGCACACCCAGGCCACACCCAGGCCACACCCAGGCCACACCCAGGCTACACCCAGGCCACACCCAGGCCACACCCAGGCCCACTCACTCAGAATCTCTAGATTTGGGTCCCAGGCCCCTGGGCTGATCATCAGGTGACTGTTGGTCGAGGTGCTGGGACAACCTGCTTCTCCTCACTCTTCATTTTCTTAAATTGCTGGGAAGAATTGGTCAGCCTATTTCTTTCACCCTATAAGAAATAGCATCCATATGAAATGTGTTCTCATTAATAGATAATGTGTTCTTTCATGAATAGAAATTAAACTTCTCCTTCATTCATTGATATTATAGGGAATGCCATGACTAGGGGATGAAAAGCACAAGACTTGGAGTTGGGACACCTGAGTTTGATTATAGAGTCTGACACTTATGAGCTGTGTGGTTCATCCATCAGCCCCCCATACATCTATCTACTCATCTTTCCATCTGTCATTTATCCATCCATCCATCTCTCCATCTATCCATTTATCCATCCACCTATTCATTGATCATCCATCCATCCACCCATTCATCCATCTATCCATCTATCATCCACACATCTATCATCCATCCGTCCACTCATCTATTATCCATTCATCCATCTACCCATTCATTCATCCACCCATCCACTCATTCATTCATCCATCTATCATCCATCCGTCCAGTCACCCACCCATCCATCTATCCATCTACTCATCTATCATCCATCTATCCATTGATCATCCATCTATCCATCTATCATCCATTCATCTATCATCCATCCATCCACCCATTCATTAATTCTCCATCATCCATCCATCCATTCACCCATTCATTCATCATCCATCCATCCATTCATCCATCTATCCATCCATTCATCTATCATCCATCCATTGATCATTCATCCATCCACTCTTTCATTCATCCATCTGTCTACCTCCATCCATCCATTCATCTATCCATCCATTCATCTATCATCCATCATCATCTATCATCCATCCATTCATTCATCTATCATCTATCTAGTCATTCATCATCCATCATCCATCCATTCATCCATCCATCCATCCATCCATTCATCCATCATCCATCCATCTATTCCTTTGTCTATCATCCATCCATTCATCTATCATCTATCTATTCATCCATTTATCCATCCATCAATTCATTCATCTATCATCTGTTCATCCATCCATCCATTCATCTGTCATCTATCAATCCATTATCCATCTATCATCCATCCATTCATTAATCCATCCATTCATCTATCATCTACCCATTCATCCATCCTTTTTATCATCCATTCATCCCTCCATCATTCATCCATTCATCCTCCATCCATCAATTCATCCATCTGCCCATCCATCCATTTATCTATCCATCTATCCACGTATTCATTAATTCATTCACCTGCTATGTTTCAGATGCTCTGATTTTTCCTTGCAGCATGCCCTGCCTACCTCATAAGGTTGTTGTGAGTGTCTATTGATAAGAGATTTGTGAGGTTGAAAGTAGGCTCCTTGGATTCAAAGCTTGACTCTGACACTGCATAATTTGTGACTTTGTGCATGCTGCATGTGCATTGTGCCTTATGTGAAATGGAAAAAATAATAATTCCTGCTTCATACATAGAAGTTATTGATAAGTGCTACTTTTCACTTGTAACTGGTAGAGCACTGCAGTGGCATAACCAATGCAAGAAGGGTGTGACTTCTCAGGCTGAAGAACAATGATTGTACATATTCATGCTGCTCAACATTCTTTCTCATTGTGTTCGTAGCCTTTGTTGGGTCTATGACTGTCATACAAATGCACAGCAAAATCTTTTAGACACATGGAGTCTCCCAGTTGGTGGGGACTTGCCTACGCTTTAATAGTGACACAGTTGAAGACTGCAGAGGTGAGAGGAGGCTGGCAGACATGTTCCTCAGGACCTCACCTCTATCCACAGCTTCTGAGCTCCCATGCTCTGCCCCCGCCATCACCAGCACCTCCACTTCAGGGAAGAAAGAGGACGACTCAGCAATTTTGGGGAATGCGCCTAAGCTCACACAGCTGGTACCTGCATGAGCTGGGCCTGAGAGTGCAGATCCAGGCTGTTTATAACCCGCTCTCTTCTCTCTGTCCCCAGGGAACTGGGCTGGTTTCATTTTGAGGCCTCCCTCCACCCCAGCCCTCACATCATATTCACGATGTCCTGGCATCTCCGTAACAGAATCTCACAGCCTGGGTGGCTTAATCAACAGAAATCTGTTTTCTCCCAGTTCTGGAGGCCAGAAGTCCAAAATCAAGGTGCTGGCAGAGCCACAGTCTCTCGGAACATTGTAGCGGGGAGTTCTCCCCTGCGCCATCCTCGTTTCTGCTGGCTGTGGTCAGTCTTGGTGGACCTTGGCTTGCAGCTGCCTCCCTCCAGTCTCTGCCCCATCTGCACACAGACTTCTCCCTGTGTGTCCGTGTGCACCTGGCTTCTTTTTACAAGGACACCAGTCACATAGGACTAAGGGCCGATCTACCTCAATGTGGCTTCATCTTAACTAATTGCATCTGCAACAATTCCATTTCCAAATAAGGCCATGCCCCACAGTGCTGGGGGTCAGGATTTTTTTTTGTTGTTGTTAAAACAAGTTGTTTTTTTCAATATTTTATTTTTTATTAATAAAATAATTGTATGTATTCATGGGGTACATATTTTGATATGTACAATCTAGTGATCAGATAAGGATAATTAGCATGTTCATCATCTCAAACATTTATTTTTTATTTATTTTTTATTATACATTAAGTTCTGGGTACGTGTGCAGACTATGCAGGTTTGTTACATTGGTGTACACGTGCCGTGGTAGTGGTTTGCTGCATCCATCACCCTGTTATCTACATTAAGTATTTCTACTAATGCTATCCCTCTCCAATACCCCCACCCCTTGCTATCCTCCCCTAGCCCCCCACTCACCAGGTCTGGTGTGTGATGTCCCCTCCCTGTGTCTGTGTGTCCTCATTGTTCAACATCCACTTATGAGTGAGAATATTCAGTGTTTGGTTTTCTGTTCTTGTGTCAGTTTGCTGAGAATGATGATTTCCAATTTCATCCATGTCCCTTCAAAGGACATGAACTCATCCTTTTTTTATGGCTGCATAGTATTCCATTTTGTGTATGTGCCACATTTCTTTATCCAGTCTGTCATTGATGGGCATTTGGGTTGGTTCCAAGTCTTTGTTTTTGTGAACAATGCTGCAGTGAACATACGTGTGCATGTGTCTTTATAATAGAATGATTTATAATCCTTGGGTATATACCCAGTAATGGCATTGCTGGGTTAAATGGAATTTCTATTTCTAGATCCTTGAGGAATCACCACACTGTCTTCCACAATGGTTGAATTAATTTATACTCCCACCAACAGGTGTAAAAGCATTTCTATTTCTCCACATCCTCTCCAGATCTGTTGTCTCCTGATTTTTTAATGATTGTCATTCTAACTGGTGTGAGGTAGTATCTCAATGTGGTTTGATTTGCATTTCTCTAATGCCCAGTGATGATTAGCTTTTTTCATAGGTTGTTGACTGTATAAATGTCTTCTTTTGGAAAGTGTCTGTTCATATCCTTTGCCCACTTTTGATGGGATTGTTTTTTTCTCGTAAATTTGTTTAAGTTCTCCATAGATTCTGGATATTAGCCCTTTGTCGGATGGGTAGATTGCAAAAATTTTTTCCCATTCTGTTGGTTGCCAGTTCACTCTATTGATAGTTTCTTTTGCCGTGCAGAAGCTCTTAAGTTTAATTAGATCCCATTTGTCTATTTTGGCTTTTGTTGCCATTGCTTTTGGTGTTTTAATCATGAAATCTTTGCCCATGCCTATGCTGAATGATATTGTCTAGGTTTTCTTCTAGAGTTTTTATGGTGCTAGGCCTCATGTTTAAATCTTTAATCCATCTAGAGTTAATTTTGTATAATGTGTAAGGAAGGGACCCCGTTTCAGCTTTCTGCATATGGCTAGTTAGTTTTCCCAACACCATTTATTAAACAGGGAATCCTTTCCCCTTTGCTTGTTTTTGTCAGGTTTGTCAAAGATCAGATGGTTGTAGTTGTGTGGTCTTCTTTCTGAGGACTCTGTTCTGTTCCATTGGTCTATGTCTTGTTTTGGTACCAGTACCATGATGTTGTTATCACAGTAGCTTTGTAATATAGTTTGAAGTCAGGTAAGTGTGATGCCTCCAGCTTTGTTTTTTTTTCTTAGGATTGTCTTGGCTAGTTGGGCTCTTTTTTGGTTCCATTTGAAGTTTAAGGTTTTTTTTCCCCAATTCTTTGAAGAAAGTCATTGGTAGTTCGATGGGGATAGCATTAAATCTATTGGGGCAGTATGGCCATTTGATTTCAGCATATTTGTTTTTGCAAAAGGTGAGGGGTTTGCAATTTAACACAGAGATAAGCCCGTGTATTGACAATTTAAGAAAGCATCCATTTGGGCATCTTCCCCGAATGTATACTACCAACAAACAGCATATCAGCATCATAATTTCTGCATTCAGCTTTTGGAACTCTTCCACGGTCTTTCTTTCCTAGCTTCCCCACTTATTTCACAGTCATGAGAGCGTCCCTGTGCTGAGAAGCAGAGAAAGTTTGAGGACAGTGTCCAGGGAGTGCTCAGTGGCAGGAAGGGCCTGCAGCAAGTCCTGAGACCGCTCAGCAGTGAGGAGACCGAGGAGCCCTAGACAGTGGCTGAGCTGGAACTCAGACCCGTGGAAGGGCCCTGTTTCCTCTGCATCTGGGTTCTTTTTATTTTGATTTTTTATCTTACTTTAAGTTCTGGGAAACCTGTGCAGAATGTGCAGGTTTATTACGTAGGTATACCTGTGCCATGGCGGTTTGCTGCACCCACCAACCCATCATCTCGGTTTTAAGCCCCACCTGAGTTCTTCCCTTTCCCTCACTGGGTTATATCCCCCTTTACAACAGCAGCCGTGGCTCAGAGTCCTGCCCATCATTTAATTTACCCCCGCATCATGGACTGACATGCAGTCTGACGGTCATGGTGCACACGCAGCTCCACAGGCATGGAGGCTCTCTGAGCACGGAGATGCCCTGTTTGGCAGGACCTTGCCAATGGCTGTGGGAAACTGTGATCCACGATTCTTGGAGCTTGTTCTCCATTTCTAGCTAATCTTGCCGTGGGGAGTAACCATTCCTGGGCTTTGGTGTCAGTCAGTGGGCAGAACTGGTCTGCAGACACGTTGTGGCCAGCCCCGAGCTAGTGGATCAGTTAGGAGCACACAGCTGCAGGTCACAGAAACCTAGCTGGAGAAGTGGTGACTGAACAGGGCTGCGTCTTTCTCGGGGCTGACAGTCCGGGGCCATTCCAGGCTGCAAGGGGCCAGCAGGATTGGGTCTCCTTGGTCTTTCTGTTCAGCATCCTCAGGGAGGTGTCCCTCCTTGTGCTGGCAAGGTGGCCCGTAACTCAAGGAACAGGAGGAAGGTCCACTAGAGAGCTCTTGGGGGGGACTTAGGGGCCATCGTGATTTAGGAGTGGTCTGGGGAGGCAGCCAGCTAGGGTTTGGGGCGCTTAGTTCCTTGGGGAAGTTGCAGTCACTCTGGCTGGAGGAGGGGAGTTCCCTGTTCCTCTCTCTGGAGGGGTGTTGGTTCTAGCCAACTTACTGTTCAGCACCCCAGGGATCCTCCAGTGCCATTGTCAAACAGCCTTGCTGATGGTGACACCCCTGTGCTGTTTCTTGGGGGACCCAAAGCAGCATCTACTCTGGGCAGACTGCCTGGAAATCAATACAGGGAATGGAAACGGGATCTCAAGTGCTCCTGGTTGCCCAGGAAGGCTGTTTCCAAAGTGAATCTTCCTGATATGTGGGGGGGAAAAACACCCGAGATGGAGGGGACTGGGGGGGACAACGTGTTGCAGGATGTGGCTGTGACCTGGCTATAGATGCCTTGATGATGAGTTATGCCCTGACAAGGTGCACTCCCCAGGGCGGGGCACCAAGTGGGGAGGGGTCACCTCTCCCCCTTGGTTGATGGGGCTGGCCAGAGAGCTGGCAGATGGCTGGCATCTTCTCAGTCAGCTCAGTTTTTAAAAAAAATTAAGGCCGGGTGTGGTGGCTCACACCTGTAATCCCAGCACTTTGGGAGGCCAAGGCAGGTGGATCACAAGGTTAAGAGATTGAGACCATCCTGGCCAAAATGGTGAAAACCGTTTCTACTGAAAATATAAAAATTAGCTGGGCATGGTGGTGGGTACCTGTAGTCCCAGCTACTCAGGAGGCTGAGGCAGAAGAATCGCTTGAACCTGGGAGGCAGAGGTTGCAATGAGCTGAGATTGTGCCACTGCACTCCAGCCTGGTGACAGAGGAAGACTCTGTTAAAAAAAAAAAATTTAACTTGAGATGAAAGTCACGTAACCTCAAGCTATCTGTGTAAAGTAAATCACTCAGTGGTGTTTAGTACGTGGACAATGTGGCACAGCCACCAACTCCATCTAGTTTCAAAATGTTTTCCTCACCCTGAATGCGGCTTCATACTCACTAGTGACTCCCGTCCGCCTTCCCCTCTCCCTGGAAATCGCCCTTTTCTGTCGGTTCGGTTCCTATAACAGGATCACGTTGCATGTGCCTCAGGCGCCGGCTTCTTTCACTCAGCGCGACGTGTTCAAGGCTCACTGACATCGCAGTGGGTTGGTGCTTTTTTCCCCCGGGCTGGGTATGTTCCCCAGTGGGTTCGCGCTTTGTTCCCCCTGGGCTGGGTAATGTTCCCCAGTGGGTTCGCGCTTTGTTCCCCCGGGCTGGGTAAGTTCACCAGTGGGGTCCGCGCTTTGTTCCACCCGGGCCTGGGTAACGTTCCCCAGGTGGGTTCCGCGCTTTGTTCCCCCGCGCTGGGTAACGTTCCCCAGTGGGTCCGCGCTTTGTTCCCCCCGGGCTGGGTACGTTCCATTGCGTGCTGGGCCGCATTGTGTGGATTCATTCACCAGTTGGTGGGTATTTGGGTTGTTGACCCCCTTTGGCTGGTGCTGTGAACATGGATGTGGAAGAAGCTGTTGGAGCCCCTGTTCTCACGTCTTTTAGGGTCCACACTGTTTTTCCATTGCTCCTCTGGGCCTGGAGACGGCCCACTCCTCTGTGTTGTGGAGACTGTGTAGGCCCAACCTGTGTCTCCACACAGGGAGTCAGGCTGGGCTCTCCTCCCGCCACAGGAAGACCTGTTGGTTCCTCCCAGCCCCGGCTCGTGGCCCAGGCCTCCCCAGGCCGCGCTGTCCTTACTGCAGTGCTGTCCTGGGCTCGGACACCTGCCTCACCTTTAATAACCCAGAGCCACACAGGTGTGCATGTGGGCCTCACATTCCCAAGCTTCAGATCCATCAGCCCAGATCTGGGTACGGGATAAATAAAGGAAGAAGATATGAAAAGAAAATCACCTTAAAAAGTTTGGAAATGGAGAGGAGAATAATTTAAATAAAAAAAACCTTATACGTGGCAAAAAAGTAAAGGAAAGAATGGACATAGATCAATGTAGAAGTCGCTGAGTTAGAAATCAGACACAGGTAGAATCAATGAATGGTCTGGTTCTTTGAAAAACATCTCTGGGATAGAAAATCAACAGCCAACCTAGTTCTTTAGAGACAGCTTTAAAATACAAAAGTCGATTTTCTGCTGATTCTTGAAGCTGTATCATTGTAGTTTGGAATACAATTTCTCTACTTTTATGTTTAGACATTTCTATATAAAAAAAAAAATAGAGAAGAGAAATAGCAGGAAAACATAAACTGACAAATACATGTAAATATCAGAAAAATAAAGACAAAACCGTGAGCGGTAAATAGAGTGTCAGTACCCAGTGGCAAAGCTTCGGTCACCAGGACGATAAAGCACCTTCTGTCTGTCGCCTTCCTCCATTCAGCAGATCTCTCACCTGTGCCTGTCTCCTCCCCAGGTGAGCCTCCACGTGCAGAAGCAGGCCTGGGCACTGGCTATGTGGTCCTCACCGTGGTGGCCATCTCTGTGCTGGTGGTGGGAGCAGCCACCTTTCTGATCGTGCGCTACCGGAGAACCAATGGGAGATACAACTTTACAATCCAGTCCGACAACCTCAGCTACCGGCTGTTCTACGGATAGGAGGCGCAGGCTGGCAGGAAGGTGGGTGCGGAGTGGGCGTGTCTGATGTGTGGGTCCTGCCTTGGCCACTCACGGGGACGGCAGAGTGGGATTTGGCCAAGGGTAGATTGTGTGTGCGTCTGTGTTTTGTGGCCCTTTACGGGGTGTGCAGCCTCACTTCTGAAAAGGCAGCCATGAGCAGGCAGGGGGGAAACTGTAGGTGGGTTGGTGAAGGTTTTTTGCTTCACACGCTCACTGGACTGGCTTCATGATACCAGCGTGCTACACCACGGGTGACCGTGGGACCCAGGTGCCCACCACAAAATCCTGTCTCTGCCACTCACTCTCTGGGCTGCCCAGGCAAGGTATTGAGCCTCTTGGTGCCTCAGTTTCCTCATTCGTAAAAGGAAATGTGGTAACAGCCCCGGCCACGCACAGGCTGTGAGATTCAAATGGGAAGATGCACAATAGGCCCCGCTGTGGGGTCCGACACCTTCGGTCACTGACGGATCCTAATGATTGTCCTCCGCTGACTGTCCCTGAAACCCGTCACTCGCAGGGATCGTCATATGTGGCGTGGACACCACAGGGCACCCACACACCACGCTGCTCAGGGCCACAGCCCGACTTGCGTATGACCTTTTGAGGCTGGAGACCTCTGGAGGCTGAAGACCTCTGGAGGCTGATCTGCCTGTGGACTTGTTCTTCCTGGGTCTGCACATAGCCCACCACAAATGAATGACACGTGTGATGGAGGCAGGGTTGTTAGTGTAAACCTCTAGTGGGAAACACCAAGACTGTGACTTTTGTAAAGATTTGAGGTTTTTCCAACAAAGAACATGCCTGTAATCCCAGCACTTTGGGATGCCAAGGAGGGAGGATCACTTAAGCCTGGGGAACATAGAAAGATCCCATCTCTATAAAAAACACAAAATAAGCCGGATATAGTGGCGTACACCTGTGGTCCAGCTACTCGGGAGGCTGAGGTGGGAGGATGGCTTAAGCTCGGGAGGTGGAGGTTGCAGTAAGCCGAGACCGCCCCACTGCACTCCAGAGGAAGACCCTGTCCCAACATAACTAAATAAATAATAGAAGAAGAAGAGAAGGGACCACAGGGCTTATCTGGCAGGGCATGTGACTGCTGCTTCCAAATGCTCTCGAGGTGCCTGTGGTTAGGGGGCTGGGATTGATCTGGGCCCCCACGCTGGGCGTTAGTCCAGGCGCTGCTCCCTCACCCGTGTGTTCTCCTGCATCCACCTCACCTGGCAGGACTCGGCTGCTCAGGAGGCAGAGCAAGCAAGGCTTCCTTCGTCCGAGGATTTCTTTAGCAGGTGACTGTGTTTTCATTTTCTGTGGTCATGGTTCTCTCTTACTTCTCTTGCAAAAACTTTACATGAGAGAAGCCTGCTTCATGGTAACTTCAAATGGAAGAAACAGAAAATTCCTCCACAGACCTGACTTGCCCAGGCCACGTGGAGTGAGGCCAGCTCTGGAGCACCTTCCACCACATGCCGCCACACTGGCCAGCCTCCCCGGAGGCCACCACCAACTTCCCCAGCTCCGGTGGTGTTAGGGGAACCAACCCTCTGTTAGCTGCGGAGGTTGCAGACCATGGGAGGAATCTTCTCTCCCGTCTGAAGCACATTTCCTTTCCTCTAGCATGAGGAACGCTGGTTCCCTGGGGAAGCAGACAGTTTTCCCATCTAATTTATTCGATTCAACAAATGTTATTGTGTGAAGGTTTCTCCTGGTCCCTCTCGTCTTCACCCCAGGAAACAGCCTCCCATGGACCCATCATTACCGCATTAGGCCGGTCTCACACTGCTCTAAAGAAATGCCTGAGACTGGGTCACTCGTAAGAAAAGAAGTCGGCTGGTGGTTCCACAGGCTGTACAGGAAGCATGCGACATCGGCCTCAGGGGAGAACTTATGATGATGGTGGGAGGCCAAAGGGAAGCAGGCATGTCTCACATGGCTGGCGCAGGAGGAAGGGGTCGGGGCAGGTGCTACAGACTTCTAATCAGCCAGATCTCGTGAGGACTCTGTCATGAGACAGCCCCAAGGGGATGGTGCTAAACCAGTCACGAAGGATCCAACCACCTCCCAGCAGGCCCCACCTCCAACATGGAGATCACATTCAACATGAAACATGGGTGGGGGTGGAGATCCACACCATATCAGCTGCCCACCCTGTAAGCAAGACCCCAAATGAAGAATGTTCTGGATGCCCTCGAATGGTGGGCAGGAAGGCCAAGCATGCCCCTGCTAGCATTTTCCACCCACGTATTCCCAGACCTGAGCTGCCTTCTCTCCAGGGTTCTCCCCAGGAAGGATTCTCTCGCTGGCTCCCCAAAACAGGCTCTTGGGAAAGGAACTATGTTTTCTACTAAGGTTAGCAGCACCCGACAGTGCTGGCTGTGTGGCCACACATGGGACATCGTCCTTAGCACTATGCACTAGCATCCTGTGTTGTAGATGGGAATCAGGGCAGAAAGGGATAGATGTCCGGGTCACGTGGCTAGGAGGTGGCAGAGCTGGGACTACATGGGATTTCCATTTGGCTCTGCGGTCAGCTCTCTTAGCTACCAAGCTTAGAGTCTTCTTTCTTTCTTTCTTTCTTTCTTTCTTTCTTTCTTTCTTTCTTTCTTCTTTCTTCTTTCTTTCTTTTTCTTTCTTTCTTTCTTTCTCTCTCTCTCTTTCTCTCTCTCTTTCTTTCACTCTCTCTTTCTCTCTCTCTCTTTCTTTCTTTCTTCTTTCTTTCTCTCTCTCTCTCTCTCTCTCTCCCTCTCTCTCTCTCTTGTTTTGAGACAGAGTCTCATTCTATGTCCCAGGCTGGAGTGCAGTGATGTAATCTTGGCTCACTGCAACCTCTGCCTCCCAGGTTCCAGTGATTCTCCTGCCTCAGCCTCCTGAGTAGCTGGGAGTACAGGTGCATGCCACCATGCCCAGCTAATTTTTGTATTTTTAGTAGAGACGAGATTTCACCATGTTGGTCAGCTGGTCTTGAACTCCTGACCTCAAGTGAACCACCAGCCTTGGCCTCCCAAAGTGCTGGGATTACAGGCGTGAGCCACGATGCCCAGCCACCTTAGAGCCTTTCTAAGGCTAGTATGCGTGTGACTGATGGGCCCTTAGAACAATGCCCTTGCCTTTCCCCTTCATCAGAGACCTGGAGAATTTATATTTTAGCAGTTGTGCAAGCAGGTTCATAATTCTTGCTGTGGGGGCACCAGGTGTCCCAGTTTAGAAGGAACAACTGTTGTGGGTACAGGGAAAGAACCTTCCCAGGACCTCTGAGCCTCCCAGGGAGGCAGGTGCTGCTTAGTTGTGGTCTGGGTCCTCCGCCACCTCTGAGAATCCCAAATGGGGTGGGCACAGCAGTGAAGTTTCAGTTCAACTGTACACCCTAATAGAGAAAAATAAGTGAGCTTCCTCAGCTTGGTAGCTTTTGGCTTCTGGTTTGCGGCCCATGGGGTTTGGGTCATGAACACCCTCTCGTCACCAACCCTATTGCCTTCCATCCTGGGCAGGAGACGTTGTCAATACCAGCCTGCCCCTCTTCATCACGCAAGCAGCTTCTCCAGCCAAGCCTGTCTCGCCTGTGCTCAGGTCCTTATTCTCTTGAGATAACAGATTTTTGAAACAACTCAGCAAAGTGTGGTAGACACTGGCCCCAATCTTAAAATGAGGAAATGGGGCCCAGAGAACTCAAGGAAATCCTCCCAGGTCACACAGCAAAGTCTACAGCACACATTTCCAAAAGGCAACCTCCATGCTGCCCTCGCTGGGCTACTGCGCCAGAGAAAATACCACCCGCTTGTGGATGTGAGTTGGCCAATGTGAGACGGATGCTTTTATCGCTTTGTCTTACCCCCTATCCTGCCAGGACTCCTGGTAACTAATGTGCACATTATTCTGGGGTCTCAGAACTCTTACATCACAGACGGGGTCAGTGCTAGAGGCCAGTCACCTCCCTAGGTAGAGTTACGAGGAAATGTCAGTGCCTCTTATTTAGTATTTAAGACATGAGTCCCAGCAACGAGGCCCACACTTGTCTTGCTTGCTTTCTAAGGAAGTCTGGTGGGTTGGTGCCAAGGTTACACTGAATGTCCCCTCCTCAAAATCAAAACATCCGAGGGAAAACTGGCCTCTCGCCTTTCCTTGCTCTCCTGCGGCTTCTGTCTTCTGAAGTGAGAACGGTCTCATCACTAGTTCTAAACTTTCTGCAGCATCTGCTGTTTGAAAACCATCGCCAACCCACCCACTCCCTGCCAGGTTGGTCCTTGGGCAGCCCCACTCAGAAATGTTCCCAGAGTGCTGGTGGGTTCTCCACGGATGGTGCAAAGGTGCAGGCGCCCCAGGTGTGCTTGTCCAGCTGAGGTATCTGCACCAGCCACCCCCACCAGTTGGTGTGGTGAAAGCGTCACCCACCTGAGAGCAGGCACAGTCCATGGCCCCTGTTCCAGTTGGTGTGGTGAGAGCGTCACCCACCTGAGAGCAGGCACAGCCCCACGGCCCCCGTTCCGCTGTGCACTCTGGTAGTGGCTGGATTTTCATTTGGGGCATCTGTCCCTCTCCGGGAAGCATAGATGCCACGCCCTCGGGTTGGTAGTTCCTCCAGCACACATCCTCCTGGGGTTTTCTGTGTCAGCTTCACATTTCCTCCCTGCAAGCTGACCCGGGTGACCTCTTCCTCCATGCAGGTCGCCGTGAGTCAACCTGCCTCGAGAACCTTGGAGCTTCCCTGGCGGGCTGCCCCAGGATCCGTAGTGTCTCTCTGCATCTCCATCCATCCCTTGGTTCTTAACTCTTCAAGCCTTAATGGGGGTCTGCTCTGATGGGTGTGCACTGCCAGCGCCTGAGTGAGCCCAGAGAAGATGACAGCAGCCACCGTCTTCCCCCAAGAGGCAGGCTGTCTGGTGGGTCCCAGAGGAGCCACACCTCACAGGCAGATGAAGGGGCTATGGGAATGGGGGCAGTGCTGGGGGTGCCCCGGCTCTACCACCACCCACACGGCCCCCACAGTCCAGACCTCCCAGACCTGTGACCCTCCACGGCAGCCCATGGGACCCTCCTGGGCTTGCTCTCCCTTGACATCCCTCACTCTTTGGCAAATATAGAATATTCCACATTCTCAGAGAGACCGGGCAGTGCTCTTAATGCTCTTTTAAAAATAGGTCAGTCTTAGAAATACGCTGCTGATGTTATTCTTGGAGGATGTTTATGCTCATCAACTTTTCTCCTGTGTACTAAGCTATTGCTTTTATTTACACAACCGCGACTCAAAAGGCACTCCATTAATATGACAGTCTTTTTAGTAAGTAGAAATAACATATACACATCACTACATTTTTCTAAGCATTTTCACAGCCATTTTTTTTTCGCATAATCCGACCACAGGAGGAGCTGTGATTTACCCATTACACAATGAGAAACCAGAGGAGTTGATTAATTACTTAATTGAGGTCACAGAATGAATTAGCAAGAAAATGGTTCTAAAACATAAGCATTTTAGTCTAGCATTTTCTCCATTATACCGTCCTGAGTGATAATGCTTTGTACTTTATTTGAAATAAACTGGAATTGTGTTAGATAGCTCATACCTCAACGTAGAGTGCTTTTCCTCAACGAACTTAGAACTGTAATGTGGCCTTAGTTTTCAATCTGTGATATGAATTTTGTTGAATATATCTAATTGTCATTCATAAAGAACATTTGGGGAAAAGGAATATTCTCAGAGTCAGTAAAGGATGACAGTGGGTGATGCGTGTGGATCACAGATTCTGAGCAGTAGAATCGATTGCACAGGACACTGCGATGCGGCTGGTTGTGCTGGATGCGCCGTCTGGGACGGTCACATTACAGGCTCACTGGGCCTCCGCCGAGGGCTGGTGCTGCGTCGGCACTCTGGGGAGGCCAGGAACACATCTCCGACTCTTCCCAAGTCACGTCCAGCTGCTCTGATGTCAGCTGAGGAACTTTCACTTGCCTTTCTTGGAAGAGCGCGACATATTCAGTAAAACTGTGTGAGCCCCATGACTGTGTGGCTCATTGGATTTCAGATAAAGTCCTTGGCGTATATTTAAAAACCCTGTCTTTCAAACTTTGTCCACAGCTTTCGTGTACTCTTAATACACATGCCACGTCTGTTCATTTGTGTTTTCTACAATAATGAAAACGTGATTTCTTCTCATCCAAGTCTATTCTTTGACAAATACTCCCTGAACACTCGCGGTGCTCCAAGCCCTGAGCTCAGTGCTCTGGGCAAAATGGTGAGGGAGGCAAACAGAGCCCTGCCCTCACAGAGCACATGGTCTTGTGGGGGAGGGAGACACTGAAATCAGATGATGGGACCCATGCGAGGTGCTGAAAGTGACGATTACACGTGTGCTGTGAGATGCCCCGACCTGGTTCCTTCATTTGCCCATCTAGCCATCTAACTACCCATCCATTCACCCACCCATCCACACATCTGTCCACCCATCCACACATCTGTCCACCCATCCACACATCCGCCCACCCATCCACACATCCGTCCACCCATCCACACATCTGTCCACCCATCCACACATCCGTCCACCCATCCACACATCCGTCCACCCATCCACACATCCGCCCACCCATCCACACATCCATCCACCCATCCACACATCCGCCCACCCATCCACACATCCGCCCACCCATCCATTCACCCACCCATCCACACATCCGTCCACCCATCCACACATCCGCCCACCCATCCACACATCCGCCCACCCATCCATTCATCCACCCATCCACACATCCGTCCACCCATCCACACATCCGTCCACCCATCCACACATCCGTCCACCCATCCACACATCCACTCATCCGTCCACCCATCCACACATCCGTCCACCCATCCACACATCCGTCCACCCATCCACACATCCGTCCACCCATCCACACATCTGTCCACCCATCCACACATCCGTCCACCCATCCACACATCTGTCCACCCATCCACACATCCACTCATCTGTCCATTTATCTACCCATCAACCCATCTGTCCACCTGTCCGCACATCTGCTCCTCTGTCCATCCATCCATGCATCCAGCCCATCCACCCATTCACCCATCTGTCCATCCATTCATCCATCTAACCATTTGTTCGTTATTCAACCATCCATCCATGCATTCATTCATCCACCCATTCATCCAACCACTCACCCACGCATCCACCCACTCACCCACCTCTCCATCCATCCATCCACTAAAGCATCCACTCCACCACCCATCCATTCACCCACCCATCCACCCATTCACCCATCTGCCCATCCATTCATTGATCTAACCATTTGTTAATCTATTCAACCATCCATCCATTCACTCAACCATTCATCCATCCACTCATCCAACCACTCACCCACCTCTCCATCCATCCATCCACTAAAGTATCCACTCCACCACCCATCCATTCACCCACCCATCCACTCACCCAGCCATCCATCTGACCATCCACTCAACCAACCATCCATCCATCCCTTCATCCACTCAACCAAGGAATGTGCATTGAGTCCCAGTTTATATACTGACATGAAGAAGACAAGAAGAATGAGGCAGAGTTTCTGCCCTCAAGTATTCAGAATCCATCTGAAGAGAAACCCCTGTGGATAGTCTAATACATGCAGCAAATCCAGGGAGGCCTCTGGAGGAAGGAAGGGCGAGAAACTAAGAAGAATGCACGTCTATGCATATGGACTTGTGCACCTGTTCACATTTCCTCATTGGAAGGGCTCTGGGCGCTGCCGCGTCATCACTACTGTTCCGGAGGATTCCCAGCATGCACATTGCCTGTAGCTTACACCCTCCAATCCTAGCCTGTTTCCACGGGCATGGCCTAAGAGATTAAATTCAAAGTGTACTGAAACTGAAGGAGGAAGGGGGACCCAGGGTGGCCATTGGATGTCTGCAGAAGTTGTTCACTGCTCTCCAGTGCAGATGTCACCCCAGGGTTGTGCAGTGTACAACCTGTGAGACCGGACTTCAGGGCCACGGAGATTCCCTGGCCCTGAAGGGATTCATGGAGGTTGCCCAGAAGATCTCTTCACAGACTGAGTAGGCAACTCAAGTCCTCCTGTCTGTGGAAGGGGGAGTGTGTGGGAGATGCAGACGCGTTCTATACAAGCTTCCTTACAAGCCCTCCACAAATGATTGTTCTCGCTTCACAGATGAGGAAACGGAGACAGTACACAACTTTTCTGAAGTCAAACATCTGGCCACGGAGCAGCTGCAATTCAAACCGAGCACATGGGGCATAAAGTTCATGCCACCCTCTGCTTCCCGTGGGGGGTGGGAAGGAAGGCCTTTGCAGACTTTAGAACTCAGAGTGCCTCTGAGATGTGGAAAGAGGGCTTAGGGGTTCCCCATGGGCAGTGAGCCTTGGGCTCCTGGGGTCCTGGGTCCCTGGAGGTTCTCATGTTCAGACACCATTAGGACATCAATCTCCTGGCCCAGGATCCCAAGCTGCAAATCACTATACAGTGGAATATCTAATGGAGATGGAGGGTCTGATGGAAGAGAATCTGATGGCGTAGGAGGGTCTGATGGAGGTGGAGAATCACCGGGGCCTTCAATGGGCCCCCTGGCCCAAGCTGCATCTCTCTATGCTGACCACTAGATGGCGACATAAGCCATCTAGTGCCCAGCATGGCTGCGGGAACCTGTGTTTCCGCTGCCAC